AACTTCTTAGAGAAATTCTCCCCAAATTTCTCTGAAGTGAGAAATTCTTTCCAAATTTCTCTGGACTTTCTCTGGATTTTCCTTGCCCATTTTATTGTCAATAAGCAATATTTTGATAAATTTTGAAAAACTGAAACCTACTTTTGCACTTGCCAAGCTTAACATGTAAATTTAGAATTGAATGACTCATTACGGTATGACAGAGGTAGTTACTAATGATAATCAACCACATATAAAAGACAAATGTATATGCAAAAAGATTAGATATGGAAAAGCCTTGGGTTAGTTAGAAACCTGTTCTTTGCATTGAACTCTATTAAGGGACATTTAATTCTGATACCTTAAATAAATTACTGCCACACAATATTCACCAGTAATAGTTTCTGCTACTATTTTAAGATCATCTTATTCACCACTATTGCTTTTACCATATCCAGAGAAATTCTCTCTATGGACTTCCAACTCTCCAGAGAAATTCTTTCCAAATTTCTCTGGACTTTTTCTGGATTTCCCATTCTCTAGAGAAATTCTCTCCAAATTACTTTAGACTTCCCACTCTCTAGAGAAAATTCACAAGGCTTCATTATTATTCAAATCTCTTCACTATTTTCTCTAGTTTACAAATCTCTTAAAGCTTACTCTTTTTCCACAATTCATCTATGTGTGATATCTCTATCACATTGCCTTTGATGAACGCAGTGGTGGTCTAAGTGGTGGTTTCAAACCAGAGAAAATTGAAATTTCTTCGAGTTCAATTTTTTGCAACCTACAACTCAAAAACTAGTACCACTTGTGACGGTAAATACCAACATTATGACAATCTAATTCACAATCTTTTAAAAATGACTCACAACTAATACTGATCTTACTTCAATAACAAAATTCTAACTTCCATCACTCAACAAAATGCACTTGAGAATTTATCTTTTGTCCCATTTTGTCACAGGATTCTAACATTACAGAGAAAATTGTGTTTTGCCTCAACCAAAGAAAATTGATCAAACTAGAGAAAATTATAGTTGTCTCTTATCTTTTAGAGAAATTCTAAACCAAAAAAATCTAGAGAAAATTAAACATGCCAGAGAAAATTATTTTTTGACTCATCCAGAGAAAATTGATCAAATCAGAAAAAATTGCAGTTCTCTCTTCTCTTCTAGAGAAATTCTAGAATTTCTCTCGATTCAAACCAGAGAAATCCAGAGAAAAATGAACATGCCAGAGAAAATTAAACATGCCAGAGAAAATTGATCAAACAAGAGAAAATTATAGTTCTCTCTTCTCTTCCAACTTCATTCTTCATCTTTGCCAAATTCTCTGGTTTGTTTATAATTATTGTTTCTCTTTTGATTTTGAATAATAATGAAGCCTTGTGAATGTACCCTGCAATAAATTACAGATTTATAATGATTTAGTAAACTAAGATCATGTTTGTCCCCAAAATAGTTTAATCAATGATGTCAAGATGCAATCTGTGTATTCCATGTTCCTAGATTAGATTATACAAACTATATTATCAGCCAACACGCACAAGACATACTCTAATAGAAGCAGTAAATGCCAGAGTTGTGAGAAGACCACATATTAATAGAACGATCACAACAACTTTGCTAGATATCTATTTCTTTGATGGATCAACATAACCACTTCTGTGAAGATCATTTCCATCATCGGCTTTGATGGCGACAACTATGAAGATCCTCGTCAATCTTCGGCGAATTTCCATGCAAAATTTTGGTACTGAAATTAGATCCGCGAGTTGCAGAGAGAAAACTGAAGAAATTGGAGTTGAATCGCTTCAATTCGGTGAAGAAATTCGGAGACTAATGGTGGCGCCACTAGAGACCAGCTTTTTCTTCATTGCTCTTCTTTCTCTGAGATGCTTTGAGCTTCGTTTGACGGGGGAGAGAGAGTTAGAGAAGATGATGACGACGATGAACTCCGGTGATGGAGGTAGAGTTCGTCAAAAGTCTAATATGGCGACAACTTTGATATCATTATTAAATCAATCTATTAAATTAAAAAATTCAAAACTAAAAACATTTCATATATTAAATATATCGATTACACATTAAAATCTTAATAACCACTCATTACATGATAATCATCCAAACAAAAATAAAAATTAATTTGATAAAATAAATAAATAAATGTCTAAAAGATTTATTAATTTTACATAATTTTATCTTTGATTGGTAGAAATTATTTTTAAAAATTCAAAAATATTTTTTTAACATTTATGTTTATCAAATATCAAATTGACAATTTTACCCTTGAAATTAAGTAATAGTATATTCAATTATCCTTATTTGGAACATGATTCAAAATTCAGAGTCAAATGTGTCACAATTGAAAAATCAAGGATCAAAGTGATACAAGGCCCAAACTGTAGGGACTGTTAGTGTAATTCCCTCTTTTTTAAAAAAGCTTTAGGTTTCTAAATTCAATTCGACAAAATGAACCGAAAAATTATAATTTCCTTAAAAAAAATTCAAAAAAGACAAAAATAAGCCAAAATAAACAATATTTTTTTTGCTTATTTTCTTCATTACTAAATGCAAAAAAAAATGGGGATTTTTTTTTTAAAGTCCTTGGTATTAAGATTTTATAGTAAAAAGGACATCTAATATTTTCATAATGTCTAAGGTCTCTCACACATTGATCTAAAGAAATTTCGATCCAAAGAAATTTCAATCCAGAGAAATTCTCTAAACTTCTCAGAGAAATTCTCCCCAAATTTCTCTGGAGAGTTCTCAAGAGAAATTTGTGAGAAATTCTTTCCAAATTTCTCTGGATTTTCCTTGCCCATTTTATTGTCAATAAGCAATATTTTGATAAATTTTGAAAAACTAAAACCTACTTTTGCACTTGCCAAGCTTAACATGTAAGTTTAGAATTGAATGGCTCATTACGGTATGACAGAGGTAGTTACTAATGATAATCAACCACATATAAAAGACATATGTATATGCAAAAAGATTAGATATGGAAAAGCCTTGGGTTAGTTAGAAACCTGTTCTTTGCATTGAACTCTATTAAGGGACATTTAATTCTGATACCTTAAATATATTACTGCCACACAATATTCACAAGTAATAGTTTCTGCTACTATTTTAAGATCATCTCATTCACCACTATTGCTTTTACCATATCCAGAGAAATTCTCTCTATGGACTTTTAACTCTCCAGAGAAATTCTTTCCAAATTTATCTGGACTTTCTCTGGATTTCCCATTCTCTAGAGAAATTCTCTCCAAATTACTTTAGACTTCCCACTCTCCAGAGAAAATTCACAAGGTTTCATTATTATTCAAATCTCTTCACTATTTTCTCTAGTTTACAAATCTCTTCAAGCTTACTCTTTTTCCACAATTCATCTATGTATGATATCTCGACCACATTGCCTTTGATGAACGCAGTGGTGGTCTAAGTGGTGGTTTCAAACTAGAGAAAATTGAAATTTCTCCGAGTTCAAATTTTTGCAACCTACAACTCAAAAACTAGTACCATTTGTGACGGTAAAAACCAACATTGTGACAATCTAATTCACAATCTTTTAAAAATGACTCACAACTAATACTGATCTTACTTTAATAACAAAATTCTAACTTCCACCACTCAACAAAATGCACTTGAAAATTTCTCTTTTGTCCCATTTTGTCACAAGATTCTAACATTACAGAGAAAATTGTGTTTTGACTCAACCAAAGAAAATTGATCAAACCAGAGAAAATTATAGTTGTCTCTTCTTTTTTAGAGAAATTCAAAACCAAAAAAATCTAGAGAAAATTGAACATCACAGAGAAAATTAAACATGCCAGAGAAAATTATTTTTTGACTCGTCCAGAGAAAATTGATCAAATCAGAAAAAATTGCAGTTCACTCTTCTCTTCCAGAGAGATTCTAGAATTTCTCTCGATTTAAACCAGAGAAATCCAGAGAAAAATGAACATCATAGAGAAAATTAAACATGCCAGAGAAAATTGATCAAACCAGAGAAAATTATAGTTCTCTCTTCTCTTCCAACTCTATTCCTCATCTTTGCCAAATTCTTTGGTTTGTTTATAATTATTGTTTCTCTTTTGCTTTTGAATAATAATGAAGCCTTGTGAATGTACCCTGCAATAAATTACAGATTTATAATGATTTAGTAAACTAAGATCATGTTTGTCCCAAAAATAGTTTAATCAATGATGTCAAGATGCAATCTGTGTGTTCCATGTTCCTAGATTAGATTATACAAACTATATTATCAGCCAACACTCACAAGACATACTCTAATAGAAGCAGTAAATGCCAGAGTTGTGAGAAGACCACATATTAATAGAACGATCACAACAACTTTGCTAGATATCTATTTCTTTGATGGATCAACATAACCACTTCTGTGAAGATCACTTCCATCATCGGCTTTGATGGCGACAACTATGAAGATCCTCGTCAATCTTCGGCGAATTTCCATGCAAAATTTTGGTACTGAAATTAGATTCGCGAGTTGCAGAGAGAAAACTGAAGAAATCGGAGTTGAATCGCTTCAATTCGGTGAAAAAATTCAGAGACTAATGGTGGCGCCACTAGAGACCAACTTTTTCTTCATTGCTCTTCTTTCTCTGAGATGCTTTGAGCTTCGTTTGACGGAGGAGAGAGAGTTAGAGAAGATGATGACGACGATGAACTCCGGTGATGGAGGTAGAGTTCGTTGGAAAGAGAAGAGCAGAGAGAGAAAGAGAGGGAAAGATGGTTTGATTTGAGGGATCAAATTTCTTAGTGATATATGGGTGTCAAGGGTTGAGGGACCTTAGACACTATTAAATAATATTATAAATCTCTTCCATTATTAAAAATGAGAGAGAGATCTTAAACTAATTTTTCTTAGAATCTATGGATAGTTTATCATTTATTTTATTATAATAATTTTTGTTTGTTTTTTTTTTTTTAAAAAAGGTACTATTTTTAGTTTAGAAAAAAGCGGCAATGGGGTCGTAAAAAGCGCGGTAGCACAGTAAAGTTTCCTATACATGGTTGACTGAGTGAGAGGCGCAGTGAGTGTGTGGCTGAGTGAGTGGTTCCTTAGGGTTTTGCACACCCATTCCTACTTCCCAAAAACTCTCTCTCTCATCATCATCGTCCAGACTCTCCAATCCATTCACAATCTGATCGTTTCACAGGTAAGTTTCTTCGCTATCGATTCTCTCTCCTTCCCCAAATCTGCTTGCATTTCATCTATATCTATCTGTGTGTTTGTGTATGTGTATTTGCATGTACATTGATATATTTGATTGACAATTGCTCGAGTTTTCGAGATCTGGTTTGCAGGGATGAGTTCACTAGCATTGTGTTCCAATTATGCCCTTCGTTTTCATATACTGATTGTGAGATCTGATTACGTGCCATTGTAGTGTTTAGCAGAGATCGGAAACGAAATGATAGAGTTTAGTTGATTATAATGCGATCTTCTAATAATTTGTAGCTGTATTGGAATAATCAGCTTCAGTTCCATATGGAAGTGCATGATCAGCAACACATTGTGCATTTTGTAGTTTTAGAGTTACCACTGTTTAGTATAAAGTAGACTTATATAAGGAAAATGTTTCAGACTCAATTTGACCTACGATGATGTGGCATGATAGTTAACTTTTGATTTGTTTTACACTCAACCATATGGGGCTCTACTCCCTTGCTACATTATTGTAGGCAAATTTAGAGGTCTAAATTGTGGGTTGATAGCGTCTCTCGAAATTGCAAATGATTACACCCCCAATTATGGCAAAATGGCAAACCAAATTATACATTGTTAATATTGAGGGAAGAGCTCACAGAAATGTGAGAGTTTTTTTTACTTCTAACTCATCTGTGCTAGTTGTTTAAACCAAAGCACACCACGCAGAGAGAGAGAGAGAGAGAGAGAGAGGCATTTGGAGGGATGGTAAATATGGAAAGTGTTATTTATAGCTCTAAGCCATTGATATGTAGAAAGTGAGAGAAAGTAGACAGTAATAGAGAGTAAGTAGTTGTTTGGCATGTGTTACATAAGTGTACTTTTAGACTTTTTTATTAAAAAAATAGAGAAATAAAGATGTATGTTTGGGATAATTTTTTGACTTTTTACGAAAAGATGTGTAATAAAATATTGTAGTAAAATCAAAATAAAAATTTTACTTTTTTGACTTTTTTGACTTTTTGGGTAGTTGTGACTTTCCCCATAAGCTACCGTTGAATAGTATAGACTTTTAACTTTTTTAATAACTTTTTGACTTTTTTAGCTTATCCCAAACAAGGCAAGTAGAGAGATACTTTTATGGTGGAAATTGAAGTGGCGAAGTGAGAAGAATTTGTGCCAGATGAGGGATGGCCTAGATTGGTTCAGTTATAGAGTTGAAAAGCATTGAAGATGATACTGTCAAAATTATTTATTTATTTTGCTAGGCCACCTGTGGTTTTTCATTTGGAAATGACTGATAAAGCACATATTACTGAAATTTTGCAAAGTAAGTGTTTTGTCTGTTTTTTTGGCCTTTCATGTCTGGGGCTACTTTATGGCCAATTATTTATTTCTTGCTTGTAGATTTTTATTTATTTCTTTATTTAATTTTATTATTATTTTTATAAATTCATTTTTTTAGCTGACTTATCACTTGATTGTACCACATTACCTATATGATTTGTTAGTTGTATGCTTAATGCTTTTCTAAAACTGTTGTATCTTTATTGCTTTCTAATTGGCTTCAGGGCTTTTCCTCAGGTGGATCTGTGTGACCTGGATTAGATGGAGCAGGTAAAGAACTTTTCATTCCTGTTATTTAGTTATTTTTTAGTTATTTTTGTATTTTGTTAGACTGATGTTTTTGAACATTGCAGTACGAAAAAGTTGAGAAGATTGGTGAAGGAACCTATGGTGTGGTCTATAAGGCTCGGGACCGAGTGACCAATGAAACTATAGCTTTAAAGAAGATTCGTTTGGAGCAGGAAGATGAGGGTGTACCAAGCACGGCAATTAGAGAAATTTCTCTATTGAAAGAGATGAAGCATGGAAATGTTGTCAGGCATGTTTCCAATTTCCATAATATGTTTATTTAAATTTAGGTGAATTTTGGTGTTTCTGCTGATAGCACTATGTTTTTAGTATGAGCCATTAAATATCCTGAATGTGTGTGTGACCAACTATAAAAAAATCCTAGTCTTGAGCTACACAACATGTATGTACCGAATTGAGTCAACCTGTCTTTCATCCAAATATTCTTTGTTTTGTGACTATATTTATTTGTACTTTTCTTGTTATTATTGGTGTATTTAATTTAATAACTCATTTCATTTATTTTCATACTTCTATGTATCATAAAGGCTTTAAGATGAGCAAAATGTATATTTTTTTGACAACTTCATGAGTTGGTCTACATTGTCGGCTGAAATTGCATCCTTAGAAAAATTGAAATTGGATGAGAGTAGGAACAATCCTTATGAAAAGCGTGATGTAGGAGGAGCAACATGATTTGACGATGTGCATTTCTAATTCAAAGTCGTTTCTGAATTCTGTATTCTAACAGCTGCTTATGCGAGCATGCACCAATAACAGCATGTTTCTAGCTTGTGCTTTCTTTAGCTATATAGTTCTGCAATAGTGGCACTAATAACTATTAACGAGGACAATGATATTGAACATTGCCAAAAATGATGACATTTGAAAAAAGGACATACAAGGCCTGAATTGATCTCCGACATGCATACTTGCTAGTGCATTTTGGATGGATAGATACTTTGAATTAGTAGGAACTGGTTGATTTGCAATGAACCTACTAGAGAATGTTTTATTTGAATCAGATTTGATTTTCTATTTTAGATTGTATGTCTGAACTCTTCTTCTTTGGCATTGTTATGGATGTGTTGTTCTAATATGTTTGATAATTTTTTTGGTGGCAGGTTACAGGATGTAGTGCACAGTGAGAAGCGTTTGTATCTGGTTTTTGAGTATCTGGACTTGGATTTGAAGAAACACATGGATTCATGTCCGGAGTTCTCTAAGGATCCACGTCTGATAAAAGTGAGTGATATCTTATTGGTCTTTGGAGGTTGGTGTATGCTGTGGCTTCAAGATTAGACCTGTTCCATACTAGGCTTACATGTAAAGGATATTTTTTTGTTTCCTGTCACTTTGGCTATGTAAAATACACACATGGAGTTTAAGTTCAACTCATCCAAACACTTGCAATGAGTGCTTGTAGAGATTCTTGGATATATAAATATCATTGTATTTTATTTTGTAATAGATTCTTGGATATATAGATTGTAAGATTTTTGAATAGCTTTCTGTATCTCATATATTGAATGTATCAAAGATTACAATCAGACTTTAGATTATATAGCCCTAAATCCTAAACCAAAAAGGAAAATACAAATACAATTATAATTATGTCTCTAACAGGACTCTAACACAATCATGTCTGTAATAGGACTCTAATTTGTACACAACACACAATAATATATTCTATATTCTCACACTCCCGCTCAAACTTAAGGTGTTTTAGCAGAAAATACTGAGAGTTTGCTAAGAAGAAACTGAAACGGAGTGGTAGTGTGAGTTTTGGTGAAGAAATCCGCAAGTTGCAAAGCTGAAGGGATGAAAGGAAGCGAGATAGAGGTAGACTGCAGATGCTGGCGAACAAAGTGACAATCAATCTCTATATGTTTCGTCCATTCATGAAATATATAGTATTGTGGACAATCTGAACAGCACTGCGGTTGTCACAATAGAGAGGTGTTGGAGAGGACTGAGAGACACCCAAATCAGACAAGAGACAACGAAGCCAAACAATCTCAGCAGTGGCATAAGCCATAGCAGGATACTCAGCTTCGGCAGTAGAGCGAGCAACGACTGATTGTTTCTTACTTTTTCAAGAGATCAAGGAATCTCCAAGAAACATACAGAAACCAGACGTAGACTTACGATTAGTAACATCACCAGCCCAATCAGAGTCAACATAAGCCACCAAGTCCAAAGAGGAAGTAGAGGACAACAATAAGCCCTGAAAGATGGTACCCCTGAGATAGCAAAGAACGCGAACCAAAGCAGTCCAATGGGTAGAGCGAGGAGCAGAAACGAACTGACTTACCACATGAACAGCATAAGCAAGATCAGGGCGAGTGACAGTCAAATAAACTAAACAACCCACAAGCTCGCGATATAAAGTGGGATCATCCAGAGGGACACCATCAATAGAGTTAAGCTTTACATTAAGCTCAATAGGTGTATCAGAAATCTTAGTATCAGTAAGACCAGCACGATGAATGACTTCATTAGCATACTTGGCCTAAGACAGAAAATAGCCTTTGGGAGAAGAAGCAACCTCAATATCAAGAAAATACCGTAATGGACCCAGATTCTTCATTTCGAAGGTGCGGAAGAGATGCTGCTTGACCTCAGAGATAGCAGAAGAGTCTGAGCCAGTGATGATCATATTATCCACATAGAGTAAGAGAGTAACAAAACCAGCCGATGTATGTCGCAGAAATAAAGCAGAGTCGGAAGTAGAAGGATGAAACTCGAGCTCGGTAACAGCAGTCTGAAAGCGATCATACCAAGCACGAGGAGACTGCTTTACACCATTCAGAGCACGCCGAAGACGACAAACCTGACCAGAGGAATGGTGAAAGCCAGGAGGAGTACGCATGTAAACCTTCTCAGTGAGATGACCATTAAGAAAAACATTCTTAACATCCATCTGATAAAGAGGCCAAGAACGAATAGCAGCGACAGAGATCAAAGTACGGACAGTAGTCATCTTGGCAATAGGGGCAAATGTTTCCTCATAATCAATACCATACTTTTGAGAGAAACCTTTGGCAACCAGACGAGTTTTGTAGCGCTTAAGAGACCCATCAGAATGAGTTTTGACTTTGTAGACCCATTTACAACCAACCAAGTTCTTACCAGCAGGCAAAGGAACCAGCTCCCAAGTACTAGTTTTCTGTAGAGCAGACAACTCATCTTCCATAGCGTGAACCCAATGTGGGTCCTGACATGCCTCTTTGTAAGATTGAGGTTCTGAAAAAGAGTGAATAACAGACAAAAAGTACGATAGGAGGCAGAAAAACATGTATTAGACCAACCTAACCTGTTTGGAGGATGACACGCTCGAATAGGATATCGGTGTGCAGCAGGATCAGAGTCGGCAGCAGCAGGAGGATCAGCAGTAGGGATAGAGACAACTGGTGAAGGAGGAGCCTTGCGACGAGAATAAACTAACAACGGAGAAGGAAAACAAACTGAAGGAGGAGAAGCAGCCAGCTTTGTGGGGAAGAAGGACAAAACAGGCAGACTCAAACACACGAAGGAGGGAGTAGTTAGGAAGTTGGGAGAACAAAGTCTCATAAGGAGACCGACTAGAAATCCCCTAATATTGGATTATTGCCATATTATTTTCTGATATTACATTTAAACCTCATACTCTTTTGGTTGTTATACTGTGATGTTGGATATATTGGTTTTGTTGCCCCTATTAGCTTTCAGTTTATTATGATAATGACAGTTTCTGCTTTTGTAAAGCCCAAGAAAGGGCTCCTTGCTTCAGATGAGTGCGCCTACTGCCATCAAAGGGGTCATTGGAAGTACCATTGTCCCAAGAATGGATGTCTGTCTGTTTAGTCTCCTGTCGATTTTACTGCATCTGCTCTGACTCCTGAACCTGACTTAACTTCCTTGACTACTCAGATTAGTCAGCTTTGGCATATATTATCTAACTCCCAGCCATCTCCATCTACCTCCATTATTTTTTCACTTCATTCAGGTTTGCTTGGGTCTTCTTTAGGTATTTCTTCGTCTGTTTGGCTTTTTAACTCTGGTGCCTCTCATCATTTGACTCCCCATCTCTCTTTACTTCAAAATTGCACTCCTCCTCTTTTTCCTATTACTGTCAATACTGCTAATGGGTTTGGTATGTTTGTATATCTGTTGGGTCTGTCCTACCGTCTGCTATGTCTACTGTCTCTATTCCATCTGTTCTTTATGTTCCTCAATTATCTGTCAGTTTATTATCTATCAGTCAACTTGACGCCTTTGGTTTTGATGTTATCTTTTCCTCTTCTATCTGTTCTGTGCAGGATCGGATGTCTAAGCAGCAGATTGGGACTGGTCGTAGAGTTGGGGACCTCTATGTAGTAGAGAGCTTGCATCTGCCTTTGACAATCTCTTCGACTGTCTTTTCCTCTTTTCAGTTAGATTCTCTGTCCAGTCCTTTCTACTTATGGCATTTTAGATTAGGGTATTTGTTTGCTGACCGCTTGCGATCTTTGGCTCAATCAGGTATCTTGGGAAAAGTTTCTCTCAGTGAACTTACTGAATGTCAAGGGTGTAAACTCGTCAAGATGACAGTCTTACCTTTTTGTAAAAGCACTTCTATATCTGATACACCATTTTCTGTAATTCATACTGATGTTTGGGGTCCTTCTCCTATTCTCACCAAAAGGGGTTTTGCATACTATGTGTCATTTGTTGATGACTGCACCCGTTACACTTGGGCTTATCTTATGACTCATAAGTTTGATTTCTATCAGATATACCGTACCTTTCAGTCTATGATTACTATACAGTTTGGGTCTGCTATTAAAGTGTTATGGTCTGACTCGGGTAGGGAATATTTTAAAACTAAGTTTTGTGAGTATTTGGCCAATTTGGGTACCATTCACCAAACTTCTTGTACAGATACACCTGCCCGAAATGGCCGCGTTGAGCGTAAACACCGTCATCTCCTTGAGACAGCTAGGTCTCTTTTTCTCTGGCTCAGTTCCGGCTCCATTCTAGGGTGAGGCAGTTCTTACTGCTGCTTTTCTTCTCAATCGCATGCCTACTCTCATTCTTTCTGGTCAGTCTCCTTATGAGGCTTTGTTCTCCCAACTTCCTAACTACTCCCTCCTTCGTGTGTTTGGGTCTGCTTGTTTTGTCCTTCTTTCCCGCAAAGATAGGAGCCCTTTCTTGGGCTTTACAGAAGCAGAAACTGTCATTATCATAATAAACTGAAAGCTAATGGGGGCAACAAAACTAATATATCCAACATCACAGTATAACAATCAAAAGAGTATGAGGTCTAAATGTAATATCAGAAAATAATGACAATAATCAAATATTAGAGGATTTTAGATGCAAAAATCCAATGGGTCGAACCAGTCTCAAACATTAACCCTTTGGAGTGAGAGAAGTTGAGAGGTATCTTCACTTCGATGCAATCAACAGATGCGACGAAGCAACCAGAGAACCGCACACCAGGGACAATCGCGGGGCAAAGAGCAGCAAGAAGTCGCGAGTCAAAGACTTGCGAATCAACTAGGTCGCGAAATTTGTCCAGAGAGCTTCGAACCAGAGAGAGAACTAGGGGTTTCGACAGACTGAACTAGAGATGGGTTGAAGACTTGCAAAACCAAGATGGGTTGACCACGAAGGAGAGCCAGAGAGAGAAGACGAGCTGTGAGGAGGCGATGACTAGATGGGTCGAACCGTTGGATGGGTGCGACTACCAAATAGCACAAACAGAGAAGAAATCCAGATGGGTTGACTGAGACAAGGCACAATCACGAGCAGATGGGTCACGAACCAGAATGAGCAGATGAGTTGACTGAGATAAGGCACAATCACACACCAAAGTCGAACCAGAATGAGCCTGGGAGAAGCAAGCACGAACACGAACAAGAGAGTAATGGAGACGGCTCTAGGGTTTCGGATCAGAGAACGGCTCTGATACCATGTAAGATTTCTGAATAGCTTTCTGTATCTCATATATTCAATGTATCAAAGATTACAATCAGACCTTAGATTATATAGCCCTAAATCCTAAACCAAAAAGGAAAATACAAATACAATTATAATTATGTCTCTAACAGGACTCTATCACAATCATGTCTCTAATAGGACTAATTTGTACACAACACACAATAATATATTCTATATTCTCACAATAGATATCATTATATTTTATTTTGTAATAGTGAAATGGTAATGATTCTAGTCGTTTTATTAGCAACTAATTGCGGTTTTCTCTCTGGAGCCCTGAAGTCAGAAATGATGAGGGGTGAACAGAAAGATTAATTATATTATCGTATTGTATTAGGAAGATCAGGAATATCCAAAACCCTACATACATTTCCCTTTATTGAATTCTTTTGCTAAAAAAGAATATTTTATGGTCATATTTAATAATTCAAATTGAATGCATTTTACTCTGACAGTTCTTTCGTCATCTGGCATCTGATCGAATTAAAGATTGACAGTGATCCGATCGGGCTAATAAAAATGAAATATTATTTGGTTGCATTTTTCAATTTGCAGATGTTCCTGTATCAAATTCTTCGTGGTATTGCTTATTGTCACTCCCATAGAGTTCTGCATCGAGATCTGAAACCTCAGAATCTGCTGATAGATCGCCGTACAAATGCTTTAAAGCTTGCAGATTTTGGATTGGCCAGAGCATTTGGTATTCCCGTCAGGACATTTACACATGAGGTAATAGGGCCCATTAGGTTTAGGTTTCTCCACTGTGTTTTAATTAATATGATGTCCATGGTATTTATGTCTAGTAATCTCTGTGTGTGTGTTTCTCTTTGATTTCACAAGCTACAGGTTATATTTGACTTCAAAATAAAAAATGCTTGTAATGGTAGTGTTGTCTCTGATTGATATAGCATTTTCTTATTCAGGCCCTAGATGTGCTACCATGTCAAGCTGAGTTAGAGTTGTAAAGTTCATGTGAAGAAATAAAACTTTCATTAATTTATCTTTTGAGTTGATCTATTTTTTTTGCATTTGTACGCTCATCAGCTTCTCTTTTCAGGTGGTGACTCTATGGTACAGGGCACCAGAAATACTCCTTGGATCCCGCCACTATTCGACTCCTGTGGATGTGTGGTCAGTGGGTTGTATATTTGCTGAAATGGTGAATCAGCGGCCATTGTTTCCTGGGGACTCTGAGATTGATGAACTATTCAAAATCTTCAGGTTTATAACCTGAACAACATTTTTTTCTGTTGTTTTCTGGAAAAAGTTGTATTTAGGCTGCTCATTTATAATTTGGAAAGCCATGCTCTGTATAGAAGTTTTTGATGGCCTCACAGATCAGTTACTTGTGTTCATTTTGACCTGAATGCATACCATTAAAATTATATGTATGTCCGTTTAGGAAGGAACTTGAGCCAATCATTGACATGGAAAAATGTTTTAACTGTTGAATGACATGGAAAAATTATATCTGGAAATGCTTTGTGCCAATACTTTTCTATGGCTTCACATTCACATTCCCTTTGTTGAACTTCTAGACGAATGATTAAATGACCTGCTCAGCAGCCACAGAGGGCCAAGACTTAAAATTAACTATGAATAGTGATGATCATAAGGCCTGAAACTCTAATGTGGTCTCCAGTTTTCAAACTAACTAGTAGTTGAGGCCCAAGGTTTGGGCCAGTTCGTTTGCTACATCTCAAGCTTTGTAGCGTCAATGTAATTATGTTATTGTACAACCGTTTAACATTTATCCATGGTCTTACAACAATTGTTGAAAAATCTACTAATTTTGGAGTTTGATAGAGTTGAATTATAATTCTTAGTGGCTTCACTGTGTAAACTACTAAACTTTCTGCTGGGGATTGTTATGGAGTGTCTCTGAAGACTACCAGCAAACCACTTGCTGCAGTCAGTTAGAGATTTATTCCCCTTCCCTTTGATAGAAACACCACCGGGATACCACTGGCTGTAGTGGGTTCCGTATTTGTTAGATTCTTGTTCTTATTTTTAAAGTTTTTTTTAGTTATTTCTTCTTATATTCTATGTATAAAATTGGAAGAAATTTCTGCATTCGGTTATCAATAAAGACAAGACCAATGTTAGATAGATCCCAATTCTATAGTTGTAAATTTTTACTTGATGTTTAGAAAATCTGGAATTTTTTCATGGATAAGCAACTGCTCTAAATTAGAAGGAAGAAAGTAGGAAAAATGACTACTCTTGAATTTTATTGGCTTTATGGTTGAGATCCTTTATCTGCTTTTTGACATTTAGATATGCTAACCTACAGAAAGGAGAGAAAAAAATTTACCATTGGTACTGTTCTTAGGAAATCTTAATCAAAATGAGAACAAATGGTATCTGTAACCTTGCTTTACTGAATGAGTTGCAGGCAATTTTCTTTATTTGACTTGTCCATTTTTAATTTTTTTATTTGATGTTCTAGATATTATATTATGTTCTATTGATATATATGTTTTTTCCCCCCTGTGAAGAATCTTGGGTACTCCAAATGAGGATACGTGGCCTGGAGTGACTTCTTTGGCTGATTTTAAATCTGCCTTTCCAAAATGGCCTTCTAAGGTGATTGGTTTTAGGATGTGTTGCTGCATATTCTTTGATCTTCTTGTTTATTAAAAATCAAGATTGAAATGGTGTCTCATCTCTATTATGCAGGACCTGGCCACTGTGGTCCCAAATCTTGACTCAGCTGGCATTGATCTTCTTAGTGTAAGTTAAATGTCTATGTTTGTTTAAAATGCATCTCATTCAGGAACAAGTTGATGCTGAAGTATCCATAGCTTGCCCCTATGCTTTTCCCTTTTGCACTATAGTTTTATATGCAAGTTTACTTGCTTGTTTAATTAGTTATATTTTCTTATTAATCCTTACATGCTATGAAATATGAATATGAATATGGGGCACATGTATGATACATTAATTGGACATTTTGAGAAAAAAAGAGCACTACTTTAATCACAATGTTTTCTTCTATAAGAAGTAAGCAATGTGGTGGAAAATTATTCTTATATTTATACTAGTAATTATAATAATGCTACGCAAGAAATGTTACAATCTCACTTCCATAATAGTTTGGATATGTTACAAAAAGTATCCGATACTTCTCGCAATTGAAAAAAAAAAAAAAATTTTTTTTTTGATATATTTAGGAAGTATCGATATGTATCTGTCTGCAAGTATTTGAAGAGTATCGTTATCCGATAAGATATGATATGGAGATGACTTCCCTCTGAAAGCATCCGTGTGTCATAGAATATACAATCTTGATTTCTAAATAAAGTCTACTTCCACAATGCAGGAAGTTTTTGTGGCCTTGAGCCAGGCACTGTTTTTTAGACTACAATAAATGGATAAATGATACACAGTGATTAAATAACATTCTGCAATTTGAAGTTTTCCCATTACTAATACCTTTGTATGATTTCTTTCCAGAAAATGCTCTGTCTGGATCCAAGCAGAAGAATTACAGCTAGAAGTGCCCTTGAACATGAATACTTCAAGGATATTGGGTTTGTACCTTGATTCCCTGTGCCTATCTTCCTGGCTGCAAAAGTGTATATCAATATATAGCATTTCATGGGTTCATTTTTTCCATTTTGTTTTGTTTTTTTCTTTTTGTGAGAGTGCGGTTTGTTTTTCACTGCTTATTTCCCCCCTTTCAATTCAAATTACATTGAAGTGGTTATTGGCGCAGCCGTAGTGGAAGTGTCTAGTGTTTGTTCTCAGAATTTCACCCCCCAATTTCTTTGTCTTAAAGATAGGTATTGGTGTTAAGGTTTTTAATCTCTTTGTAACATCATGCTTTGTGAAAGACATAATGGTTTCTATCCCCCTTGTATGAAAAACTTTGGTTTGCCTTTTATTTGCTCTGAAGCTCTCTCTTGCTGTCTCTCTTTTCTCTATTGAAATTGGAATTTTTAGCGAGTGTTTGATTAGGAATGTATAAAGTGGAAACCACACTTTGCATTTCAAATCCCAAAAAATATATTGAATTTTTATATTTTTGGTATTTAGTAAATTTTTTAAAGATTTTTTTAGAAAAATTATACTTTTTAAGTGTATTTATGTTAGGTGTATCTAAAAATTTTAAAAAATTAAGTGAAAACAAAAAAAATACGAAAAATAAAAAAATAAAATTTTCTGAAAAGTGTTTTCTGAAAACCAAAACCAAACAAGCTGAATAATTTTTAAAAAAAATTCAACTAATTTTAAAATTTGACGTGCACTAATTTTAAAATTTATCCACCACTGTTTGCTCTCCCACTCTTAATAATTTCCAAATATATAAAAATAATTTAATATAATATTATATATTTATAAAATATACCAAAAATACTAAGGGTATTTATGTAATTTTATATAGTTAATCCAATCCAAGAATAATAAAGCGAACAAGAATTCATTAAACAAACACAATATTTTTTAATTCCCATATTAATAATCAACTCATTAATAATCTTCATACTAACAATTTCATTCATTTTATCTCTGAAAATAAACAAACCCTTTGGATTCACTTGTCTTCTTTAGACCTTTAGTTGGACTTGATTTGGGTTGGGCATTCAACTCTAAAATACTCCTAGTTCGTTCTTATTGTCCAGATTTTAGTACTGACTATTTTGATTATGATGATGATTATATATGATGCTGCTGTTGCTTCAAAAAAAATGGAATATCCACACCAACTAACTAATAAAATTGTGGTTGTTTATTTCCTTAACAAGTACTGAAGATGATAATAACAAAATTGCTTCCCAAAAGTATGAATATAATAAAACTATAAAAACAATGACAACATATTTGATCTAAAAATGAAACATAAAGCTTCACCACACCCAGTAGCAAGACCAGGACCACCCCAATCTTCTAAAATTGCTACCAAATTGCATATCATAGAATTCCCAACTCAGAGGTAGTTGCGGTAGGCCGGGCTGTACATGCAGCTCTCAGCAAACTTGACAAGATCCTTGGGTCGAGGGAGACGAGAAGCCAGACCTAGAAAACAAAATAAACCACGCATAGTCAATTAAAAATAAAATAAAATAAAATAAAAACTTCTAGAAAATTGATGTGACAGCTTTATGAGCCTATCACCTTAAAACAAATAATCCATCAAATGAGTGTTAATTGTATAAATGCCACTACTACATCATTCAGGTGGCATATTGTGGATAAATTTTTTGTAAGAATACATTTTCCCCAATAGATATTAGCACTGACTGCTTTTTTGGAGTCGAGTTATTCAGAGAGGTACTAACCGAGTTCATAGGACTTGGCTGCGACTTTAGCAGCAATGTGAGCTGATATCTTCCTGATACTGGTAAATGGTGGGTATATTAATCCATTTTTGTAGTTTTCCTCGGTCACTTGAGCTGCCAGTGCTTCCGCTGTTCCAGGAGGGTAAAACAGTCAACAAAAAAATAGTGTATACAACGTTATTATAGTTCTTAGGATATGATTTTGTCTATTGAATTTGATTTTCTACTTACAGGCTGCTAAAAGCATGTCATCGTGCACACGAATTGTACCAGACATGATCAAGCCCAAACCAAATCCAGGGAAAATGTACGCATTGTTTGCCTGTAGGACACAAAAAAGTATAGAAATAAGTCTCCAATGAATATTTTAGGATTCAAAAATAACAATACACTTCCAAGGTACAGATTAGGACCTGGCCAGGCATGAAAATTTTTCCATCGTATTCGACAGGTTCAAATGGGCTTCCGCTAGCAAAGATTGCACGACCCTGCAGATTGAGAGATGCAACGAGCAGAAAGAAAGTTTCTTAGCTATGGGTACAATTCAATTGAACAAAACTTTGGTTTAATTAATTGAAGTCATAAGTATATGTGTGAAAAGTTAAGTAATGAAAACAAAGATGTTTGTTATGTTACCTGACTCCATGCATAAGCTTCTTCAGCGGTACACTCGGACTGTGAGGTTGGGTTGGAGAGAGCGAGAATGAGAGGTTTCTACATTCAAATTCATCAACATCAAATGTCAGAATCTTCTGATTAGGTCACAACATGAGAGAGAGAGAGAGAGAGAGAGAGAGAGAGAGAGAAAGGGGAGGGGGGGAGACCTCAGTGAAGGAAGTCATGGCCTCAACGACATCCTTTGTGAAAGTTTTCCCAACTCCTGATGTTCCTATCAACACTGTTGGCTTGATTGCCTGAGATATTAAAAAAGAAAAAAAGAAAAAAAAAAGTGAGACAAGAAGGAAAATTCTTTAAGTTGTGTTTGGATCTTGAATTTGTGGAAGGAAAGAGAAAAGAGAAATGAAGTAAAAGCTTTTTTTTCCCCCCACTTTTTCCTCCTCTAATTCCTCCACAAATCAAAGATCTAAACACAGTCTCTGTGAAATTCTTAATACATTGGGGCAGAATCAAAGATATGTTTTTCAGAAAAATAAAAGCCAAAATAACAGAAAACGAAAATGAAAACACAGCCAAGCAGGTTAATTTCACACCTTTACGGCATTCAAGAGTTCCTTGACAGGTTCATGCTCATGAGCCCAAGGCTGCTTGAAGTGTTGAAGAGACCCCTTACGAGAGCTAACTACGAGTCCCTGTAAGAAAAATTTGCACACCCATTAGTTTCCTAGGTAAGAGAACACAAACTAGATGCAAAAAAAAAATAAAAATACTAGTAATATAGTTTCCTATCACCTTCGAGTCTACGAGCCAAATCTTCTTGCGAGTCTCCTCTACAGGAGCATTTGTCTGCCAAAATCATAGTCAAAGAGTGTATCAGAAAGCTTAATTAGCTGAGAAAATAAGAGTATAGATACTAGTGTAGTGTGCTAATACCTTTTTTGATATCTCGAGGGCTATAAGCTCCGCAATACCGGTTCCAGCCTTCATTGGCCAAGGAACAAAAGTGAGACATGGCAACACAAACATTGGATACATAAACAGAAACACAGATTCAATGGCATTAAAAATGCAGACACACAACTCTGTTCGGTTGAGTTTCCAAAATCTGTTTTAAATTTTTTCATAATCTAGTTTGGTGAAAAAAATGAAAAACACTCATTGTTTTCATATGATTTTCTCTTTTTTGGGGTGGAAATAAAATTTTAAAATATATTTTTTTAGCATTTATTTAAAAATTCTGAGTCCCAAGCACTACTAATTCAACTGTGTATACCTCTCCAGCGCCCAAGAATAAGAATGTGTGGTCAGCCAAGGTTCCACCGACTAATTTGAGAGCTGCAATGAGCCCTGCAAGTACCACAGATGCTGTACCCTGCAACAAAGAAAAGCGCTCAAAGATGTAAAAATTTCCTGAAAATGAACACAAAATTTCTAGCTATAAAAGACCATCTCTCGTCGTGGTACCTGTATATCATCATTAAACACGAGATGAGTATTCCGATACTTTGCCAACAGCTCAAATGCGTTGTGGTTTGCGAAATCTTCAAACTGATAATTACGGTAAAATTATTAGCACAAAATTGAAGGAAAAAAATAAAATAAAATTTAGGAACCTATTGTCCAGGAGTGTGTAGATATTGAAAACTGACCTGAATGAGGATTTTCTCCCCATAGTTCTGCTTAACTGCACACATGAACTCATGCAGAAGCTCGGCATATTCCTGAATTCCAATAATGGAAACGATCTCAATGAGATGGAAGTTTACAATCACAAGATGCAATGTTGCCTAAAAAGGGATGATGAAAAAAAGACTTATATAAGAAAATTATCAAACCTGCCCAGTTGCCCTCTTTTGCCTGAGCCCAATGTAGAACTCATCTTTGAGCAACTTCTCATTGTTTGTGCCAACATCAATGGTTATGGGCAAGCACTGCACATGACAAATTTATATAGATTCTCAAAATCAATATTTTGAGTGATATATGGGTTTTAGTGATATACTTGACAAAAGTTTGGAATTATATAACCAAAAACTGTTTGAAATCAGTTTTTTGTTGTTTAAAAATATAAATTAAAAAAAAATAAAATGGAGGAAGTATCTCCTAAAACTGTTTTCATGAAAATTCCTTGGATATGGCCCATTTTCAGGGGGGGAATTTTGCAACTTTTTTTTCTTCTTCAAGTTTCCAAAAATTATGCTTCGAAAAGATGAAAATTATATGAAAACAAATGTGTTTTTCATCTTTTCATTGGTTTTTATTTCAGAAAATGCGAAAAGTAGTGAAAACAATATAATGACAACAATACCAAACGTGTAATAATCACTCCAATTGAAAGAGAAGCAAGAAGAAAAACAAATGAAACAAAACAATCGAAGAAGATTAATTGAACAAAAAGAGCAATTTTTATAGTAGTGGCACATACTGCTGAAGGACGGACTCCTCCAAGTGCTGTATATAGCGACAGTTTTCCAACTGGGATCCCCATTCCCTGCAACATTTCAAATATTTCAATCAATCTCACCAACAATGGAGCAAACAAATGTACGGACGGAGAGAGATAAAGAAATGACTCTGTTGAACTCGTGATTCAAATATTAATCATGAAGAGTTAAGCAAATGAAGCAAGGCATATTTTACCTGGCAACCAAGATCCCCGAGTCCCAAAATTCGCTCACCATCAGTCACAACGATAACTTGAATACTCTTCTCGGGCCAGTTTTTCAACACTTCAAGAATCTTCCCCCTGGAAACTCCAAATAGTTAGTGCTAAAAAATAACACATTCGATCTAATTTCCACTAAGAAATGATAAAATAGAAAGCAATCCAAACAACAGTCATACTTCTCTTTCAAGCTGATGAAAAGACCCTGAGGCCTTCTGTAAATGCTCCCGTACTTCTGGCAAGCCTCGCCAACTACTGGAGTGTACACAAGTGGCAACAACTCTTCAACATTATCAATGAGAAGCTTGTAAAACAGCCTTTCGTTTCGCTCCTGAAGATCCATCAATGCTACGTATTTATGCAGCGGCACATCATATTGGCGGAGATTGTGCATTATTTTTTTCTCCTAAATTACAAGAATCAACAGCAGTGTAAACACCAACGAATTGATTTATAGTCAAAGCATAACATTAGAAAGTTTGAACTATTGACACAATATTTGTTGGCTAAACCTGAAGCCCCTGAGTTGAGACCGCTGGGGGTAAAAGGCCGCGTAAGTAATGGGCATCTCTCTCTTTCTCGGAGAAGGCGAGTCCTTTGTTAAAGTGTGGATCGCGCAACAAAGTATACCCACTGCAACATCAAGTGAAGAAGATTATGAAACCAACTATTGAATAAACAGCAATATTTATAGCTCTAGGAGCAAACACATTTCTAAGAACATGATTCTAAATAAAATGACATTTTTGAGATAAATGAACGATTCAAACACCATTTTTAGTGTTTGTTTAAGGCTGTAAGAAAGACCGGTGGAACCAAACCGACCAACTGAGACGGACCAAAAATTTCGGTTTTTAGTCGTTTCTTCATAAGGGAAAGGTTTGTTTTGGTTTTGAAAATTTTACATCCATACTAACTGAACAAACTGAAATATTATGTTTAATTACTTTTTATATTTTAATTTTTTCAATATTAGAAAATGAATGATCAATGCTCCATGTTTTGCAATAAAGGTTAGGAGGAGAGACATTTGTAGTTTTGCGAGGTGACACATTCCTCACAACATGGTTCTAGGAAGCAACATAACCACTATTTCAGAAAAATGACAAGTTCAACACCATTTCAGTGTTCTGTTAGTGCAACATTTCCAATCTTTTAACAGAATTCAAACAAGAAATCAGAACTTTGGAAATGTAAATAAAATGCTAAATAAAAATAAAATAAAAACATGAAAAAGAGTGTCAAAAATATATATATATATATATATATATATTTTTGAAAATCTAGTGATATGAACCACACCAGCACTCAATAACCAGAGACCAGATTATAACGAACCAAGTAAATAAACAAAATGAGATAAGTCACCTTCAGGATTAACTGCACTTTATCATCTAAACTATCACCATTTTTTTTAAAAAATTATTTTATCCTTTAACTTATAAATTTTCCTATTTAAGTCTTCAAAGTTTACAATTTTGACTAATGTCGTTTAATTAGAGACAGTCATCCAAATTTGTAGGCGATAAAAGTCTATTTTGATGGGCAAAAAGCTCATCTCAACATCCAAACAACTTAAAACATACAACTAAACACTTATTTTTTGTATTTATTTATAATATTAAAACGACAAGGTGAGTGTTTGGTTGTAGAGTATAGAGTTGTCTAACGTGTGTTTAAATAGTATATATAAAAAAATTTAGTTTAAAAATGAATATGCATATTATATTCATGTGTACAATCTCTGTGTGATAGAAGATCAAAGAGGAAAAAAAAAAAAACTTTTGAAGAATTATCTTTTCTGTCGTTTTAAATTTAAATCCGAATCAAGACTTGAAGAACACAATAAAAGAAAATCATTCACTGTGTTTGGTTTGAGTTTTCTGGATTAAATTTTTGAAAATTGACTTTTTTGGTTTTTTTGTTTTTAATGAATATTTTTTAAATTTTAAACATTTTTTTTTTACTTTTTTAGATGCACCTTACTTAGATGTATCTAAAAAGTAAAAAATCTGTGAAAAATATTTTAAAAAATTAATAAATATATAAAAATACAAAAAATATACTGAATTCTTGTATTTTTTTTATTTTTTTGGTATTTAGTGAATTTTTAAAAGTTTTTTTTACAATTTTTTTACTTTTTAGGTGTATTTATGTTATGTGTGTCTGAAAAGTAAAAAAATTGCTTAAAATATTAAAAAAATTCAGTAAAAACAAAAAAACACGAAAAATAAGAAATTAGAATTTTTTTAAAAGTGTTTTGGAAAACTGAAAACCAAGGTGATTACTTCCCATGATATCTGTCAGATCTGAAGCTAAATATACAAAATATTGACCCAAAAATAAATGGAAACTTGGAAATTAAACTGATCAAAATAGGAAGGGGGGGTTTTATGAAATTTTTTCTAACATTTGACTTTGTATGGTTTGGATCAAAAAAGCAACATTCACATCTCTATCCTAAACCTCTAAATGTATATATCTTTATGAATTTCCTTAAGCCCATTTGCTCACTAGTAAACTTAAAAAAGAAGAAGCACAAAAGAACAAAAGCACCCATCAACAATTTAACCAACATACCATGATGTCTTTCAGATCTGAAGCTAAATATACAAAATATTGACCCAAAAATAAATGGAAACTTGGAAATTAAACTGATCAAAATAGGAAGGGGGGGTTTTATGAAATTTTTTCTAACATTTGACTTTGTATGGTTTGGATCAAAAAAGCAACATTCACATCTCTATCCTAAACCTCTAAATGTATATATCTTTATGAATTTCCTTAAGCCCATTTGCTCACTAGTAAACTTAAAAAAGAAGAAGCACAAAAGAACAAAAGCACCCATCAACAATTTAACCAACATAGTTGACATCAATCTAATGAAATTTGTATGTAAATGAAAAGATTTAGATCTGAGTGCCTAAAATAGAAAACAGAGACAAACTACTCTGAAAATACACTTACACAAACGAACATATCAAGAAAAACCCATAAACAAAAGCATTAAATTGAGCCAAAACAAACACAACCCAAATCAATAAATGAAAATAAAGCACAAAAAATGAAAACATTATTGAATCATCAATTGTATGATCACCTAGCAACAGATACAGTCCAGGGGGTGACAAGTTGATCCTCCGTGGCACTATCCTCACCGTACACGTCCTCAACACCACCACCAACACCATATTTGTCATCCATGTTAGAGACTAACTCACCATTGGTATATTTACTCGCCATCACAACAACCTTTTTTCTTTTCTTTTTCCTCTCACTCTCTTTCTCTTGAAAAACAGACCTAAAGCTCGACTCTGCGAATGAGAAAAAGCAGAGAAAAACAAACAAATCAACAACACGCAAAACACACGTAATGGGCTCGTGCTTGGAATCACCAACCAAGACATACCCACGTTTTATAGCTACCCCAAAAGCATAATTCAGAGTTTTTTTTTTTCTGTTTTCAAGGTCAAGACGCCAACAATGACGAAGTAATTTTTTTAAGTTGGTAAAAATGCTTGATTTTATTATTTATTAATTTTTTTAAGTAATTTTTTTGATAAAAAATTTGATTATTTTGAATAAAAAAATTATTTTTTTTGACTAAAAAAATTAAAAAGTCCGAAAAAACTCACTTCTTTGGCAACTTCCTAAAAGAGCCCGTCAGGTAAGAACGAATCAAAAGTGCGATCTTCCATCTTAATGGGGGCGTTGGGAAAAGCGTTGACTAAAAATAATCACTAAAAAATAAAATAAGTTAAGATAATTAATAAAAAATAAAATATCACATTTAATTTATATTTATTTATCTATACAAATTATTTAAAGATTTAAATTTTTTTTTTCCAATGTAGTTAGTTTAGAGTTTTTTTTTTGTTAAAAATAAGGATAAATTATAAATACACATCTTAAGGTTTACTTAAATTACAAATTATTCTTTGTGATTCTAAAAATTACATTATGTTTCCTAAAGTTTCTAATTTTATAACAAATAGGTCATTTTATTAATAAATCAAGTTAATTAACAGTTTTTAATAATGTTAAAATTTTATTTCAATTAATAATTCAGATAATTTTATTATTATATAGGTGAACAGTTATAAAATTTCACTTTTTTAATTAATTCTGTTAAATAAAAAATTATGATATGGAGGTATTTATAATTTTTCAAACCACATAAAATAATTTATATTTTAAATAAATTTCATGAAATATACTTATAATTTACCCTTAAAATAATTAGTGTAGTAGCTAGTCTGTTAAAAAGGATAAAATAGAACAAGACTAGTTATAATAGTCATCAGACCCTGTGCTAAAAGTTGTTTTCAAACTTTTTTCTTTGTCGTGTACAAAAACTCCATTCATGTATTGAAAAACAAAAAAATCTTCAAAAATAATGTGTTAATGACATTTTTATAAATAAATTTATCTTTATAAATTTTTTATTTTTAAAGTAAAAAGTGCGCTTTGAGCGCATCATTATGTACCAAAAACAAAAGCTATATAAAATTTCTATTTGTATATGCTACTCTACTATATATTCAGGTTGAGTAATTTGATAAGAAATGAAAAGATAATAAAATCATCTTATCATGTTTTGTTTATAAATTAGGTGAGAAATGAAATTCTTTTATGCTGTGTTTGGTTGAGGGATTTGAGGAGGGATTTGGAAAGGGAAATGGAAAAGGTAGGTGAAATATGAAAAAAATATACCTACATTTCACATAGTTTCACACACCTTTTCCCTTTCCCTTTCCAAATCTCTCTCCAAATCCTCAACCAAACACAACATTAGGTCTCATTATTTTCACCAAAAGTGATAAATTTTGTGAGAAACAACTCTTGGACAATCTTTACTGTATTTCTAAAATTAATTCTATTGTGTACGTAACAACAAACAGAATATATAAGAAATAAAAGAAAAATAAGAGAATTGTTTGATTACAGAAATCAAACCAGGAAAATAAAATAAAATAAATAAAAGCAGATTTTTATTTTGTTACAAAAATAAAATCAAAATCTGATTTAAATAAATAAATAAAACAGAAAATAAATAACCAACTTACTTGATTAATTTCTTGAATAATATTCTAATTAAGTTCAGTGTTCGACACTGTGTCCTTAAGACAGATTCGTCATCTTCATGGTGCTTTCAGAATGTGGACGTCTGTCTCTCAAGATGAAATGATCAACAACAAACAATAGCAGCACTACAAATTGTTTGTCAAACTAACACACTAAGTGTTTACACTCTTTTTCATAGAAAATATATGTAGCAAAATGCAGAGAATTTTTTAGTAGAGGAGAAGTACGAAAATTATGTAGAGATGCAATTGAGGGACTAGTCTATTTATAGAGATGAAGCGGTGGCTTGGTAGCTGCTAGTTTTTAATTAAACAGGTACAATACCTGTTCAATTTAAATTAAACAGATACAAATCTGTAGGCACTGTTTGGTTTTGAATTTCAAACAATTCAAAAACCTGTTTTGGTTGGATTTGAAATCTGAACAAATTCAGTTTAGACAGATCCGAAACTATACAATATTTCTGAAGAGGTGCAATAATTTTGAATTCAAAAATTTGAAATTAATCTGGACAGAAATTCGGAATGAATTCTTGGACAAATTTATTTCAAAAAATAAAATTTAAATTCAAAAGTTTTTGGCCCAAAAAGATTAATATTGGTCGAACAAGCCCAACCCCAGCTAGACCGGACGGATGGCGGCGTCGCGTGGTGATTTTTAGGTCCAATGGGTTTAGCCCATAACTTCTCTCTCTACAAAACTTGGGTACCTGTCACGATCCAAACCCGTCCCTAAGGGTTTAGCATCGTAACCGGCCAGTAATCCATGATTACCAAAGGCCTGCTTAACAATAATAACAATAGTACAGGGTAAGAGGCTGGCGGAAGCCAATCAGTAAATAAAAGATTTCCAATGAGCTGTGGAAGTCTGGATGGAAAAAGACTTTTATGGACTAGTCCACATTCATAACCATAAACATACATACATATCGGATACACATAACATACAGGTTAGGGATCCAATCCCTTTACCATAACTGTATAGTCAAAGGTTTTAAACATTCATTACATAACAGAGACAAAAGGGTGAATCTGAAACACCCCAAAACAGCCTTGGCTGGAGCAGACTCGGAACCTCGAAGTGAGGCACAATAATTGTCTTGACAAAACATGAGCTTAACTTGACGCTTCTATCTACATACACATATAAACTGTGAGCTAAAATCCAGTGAATAACAACTGTGTAAAAAGGGTTAAGAATGAATGTCCTTTCAGTGATTAAAACAATCATTTGCGCCAGTAGATCAGTTATTCAATCAGTGGCTCATATTTTATGCCATATCAGTCAATTAGAAATCATAGCAGTCATACGAGGTACATCCAATAGCAAAACAGTACAGTAAGTCTTAATAGACTGAACAGTCAGTTGATGGCCATCAAAACAGTAAACGGTGGTAGTTTCCAACATTGGAACTGACAGAGATCTCTGTAACAGTAGCCGTAACAGTACAGTAACAGTAACAGGAAGTTGCTATGAATGCCACGAGTACAGTTCATAAAACAGGACAAATATTCATTCAGTAAACAATGTCACTTCAGAAAGCAGTACAGTCTATCATTTAGAAAATAATTATAATTGAATATATCTTTACAACATTGTTACTCACAGATTACTGGGCCATAAGCAGGCTAATTAGCGTCCTCGGGTGCCAACCCTACATAGTTGCAGAATGAACACACATTAAGTTACACACTTGGGATTAATAACTTAGCCCCTTAACTTGACTTGGTGTGGTTTTATAACATTATCCTCATTAAGATGTCTTAAACATGGCCTAGGAATGTCTAGGATGGAATGAGGATGCAAAAAAGTACTTAACAACATTTTTCAAAATTCGCTGAAAACAGGGATCTCGCTCGAGCGAGCTTACCAAAACAGAGAGGTCGCTCGAGCGTAGACTCCATCACTCGAGCAGTCTGTAAAAATGCAAAAAATACTGGTTGCTGAAATTTCCCGCTCGATGCTCACTCGTGCGTGAGACACAGTTCCTCGCTCGAGAGTAGGTCTCGTCACTCGAGCGTGCGTCTGCACACGTAAAAACCTGAGAGCTTGCAATCTACGCTCGACCCAGCATTCCGTCGCTCGAGCGGAGCTCTGAACACAAAAGTGGTCGCTCGAGCGTGGAATCCTTCGCTCGAGCGTGGAAGCCAAAATCTGGGTTTTCCAGATTTGCTTCCAAAGCTCAAATCAAGAATCAAACATGCCAAAACTCATCATTTTGGGCCAATTTATAAAATCAAATCCCAAAAGTATGTCAATTGAACACAAATTCAATCCAAAATTCAAGAACATGATGTAAATATGCCATGTATGTGTTTATTTGAATTCAAAGCTTCTAACACATGATCAAATGAGCCATTCTTCCCAAAAACATAATGAATTCTTAGATTACAGCTATAATCTAGACATGCATGGAAGAATTTCATGCAAAACAACTTCAAAACTCTATGAGATGATCATGCATGTATGAATGGACTCTCAAATTAACACTTTAGGCTAATTCTTGACTTTAATCACCAATTTTTCCATGAACCAAGCAAGAAACAACTTAAATTCATAATTAAGGGAATGAATTTCCTACCTTAAGTCTTGAATTTCAAATGTGGTAGCTCAAATATGAAATTTTCCTTCAATCTCCCCTAAGTCTCAAGCAACTCTAGTTGAAATCAATTTCTTTCCTCTTACTCTCCTCTCACTCACGGTTTGGTCTTGAAATGGATGACGGATGATGCCAAACAAGTATAAGGTCAAGCAAATGGCCTTGAAAAGGCCCACTAATGGCAAGAGTATAAATAACTCTAGCTAATGTAGTTTAACATGATTTATTCTAATTTAATCATTCCAAATTGAATTTTAATTAAATCTACCATAAAATCTTATAATTCCTAATTAACATATAACACAAAATAATTTCTGAATCGGTCGCCAATAAGGCTTTCAATTCGCAGTCGAAATTAAAACATGAACAGATCGTTCAGTAACAAACAGATAGAAATACATTCTAAACAACACACTCACACAACAATTTAAGATTTCATCTTAATCAATTACTTATCATGCTTAATCACAATTTAACGCTAATCAGAAGTGGGGGTTGTCATAGTACCCCTTGGGGCATACCCCAAGTTCCAATCCCATGCCTTATAAACTCACTCAAAACTTCCTACCAAATCAATGTGGGACAAGCCATTTTTCAAGCTTTTAAGGATTTTCCACCAAAGCTCCATTTTCATGGAGCACACTTTGGTTTCAATTTCCTATTCACTTGGTAATGGTTTTGAGCAATCAAATATACCACGTGAATCACAACA